TTTGATACATAAAATAGATGTATTTCCTAATCTGAGCCTAATCTGACTTCATCGTTGTTGAGTCAAAATCGCCCTGCATTCGTCGTGCGAGGGTTAAGTGCTACTTAGGTGTTCGCGTGCATGCAACGCTTTAGGGAATTGGAGCGATTATGGAATGACATCGTACGGTTCTGAATTAGGTTCGAGCTCGTGAACTTCTGTTCGGGCGATTGGAAAACTGAAGGCGGTGCTGGTAGGGACGAATAATAAAAATTATTCTAATTTATAATACAGAGTTCTTGGATAAAGAATTATAAGAAAAAATTTATATACTCGTTAATGGAAACACTGTTATAAATCTACAAATGAAGATAAATTGTAAAGATTAGGTCTCAGCAGTGAAGGAGACAAAGCGTGAAAAGATTGCTACGCATTTTCCACAGTTCGAATATCGACCATCTCTCTCACTCGTGGTACAGGACGTATTCATAAAAAATTCAAGGCAATATTCTCCAAGTTCTACTTTTCACTTTCCAGTGAAAATATCCCCCTGCTGTGAAATTCTCATCGACAGGTGAAAGTCCGCGGAGGATCGTTCACCTCGCGTCGATATCGGCTTAAAACAAACATACAAATTACGGGAATATCAAGATCGCCGCATCGATCGAAGGCGAAAGTGGTCCGTGTATTTAGCGAAACGGTATATATTATAAAAATACAGCCCCGTTTCTTTCGCCGATCGGTGTGTACCCGGTTTAAAAGTGGAAAAATTCCAGGATTTTTCTCCGCGACGATCGCGGAGAGTTTTCTTGCCGGGGGGCAGGCAGACACCGATCGACCTACACGAGACGAACCGGAGAAAAATCGAACGAGCCAACCGGTCGCGGTTCCATCACGGGAAAAAGCTCTCTCTCGCGCGCTACCGAGCAGTTTCTCGTCTCCATAGCAGACGTCTGTATCTGACAGTGGGTAGAAAAAGCGGTATCTCCGCTTTCAGATTGAATTGAGTTAGCTCGGGAGCCTAAGTATTCGAAGGCATCGCGCGCGATTGCATCGTTTAACGACCGCCAGAGAAGCCGTTGGGGAAACTTGCTTTAATTGCGACCGATTTTCTCCGGTTCGATGAAGGAAAACGCGGCGATCGGCTTGGTGGTAATTAAATCACGCCACTGTGAACATTTTAGTAGGCATCTGTTGCTGAAGAGCGCGAACATCGTTTCACGGCGATTTTTTCGATCGAACGGTGAAATAAGAGGAGAAGGGTGTCGCGAGATCCTCCGTGAAAAATGGGAGAGCTTCGAGGGAGATCTCTCTGCGTGTGGCTCGCATCTGTGCCACTTTTCCTCGTTTTCGTGGAAATTGTTTTCCCAGCACCGGGAAAACATTGATCGAACGTTCTCCATTAATTACGATCCAATTCACTTAGGAAATGTGAAAAGGTTGGGAAGCTTAACAGAGATAGCGAAGCAAGTGGATTCTTTCACACTCTCTCGGCAGATTCGACAAAATGTTTAACTCGTTCCGCGACCTCTGAAGCATTCCACAATCAACGTAACAACTGTCGTACAACATTTTTCTCCGAGTTCATCCTGCACGTTTACCCAGTGGAGTATTATACAAGGTAGGGAACAGCGAGCGGAAGCCACGAAAAAGGAAGCAAACAGTGGAGGATTCAGCGTCACGGAAGAAAGGAGGCGGCGAGTCGAGCGACAATTCCCAAAGGACTGCCGCTAACGACGTATTTCTCATTTCCCGTTAATCACAGGCCGTTCGTCCATTCTTCTCGATCGACACTCTCCTCTCTCTCTCGCTCCATTCTATAAACGGACATTGCCGATCCGAAACGTTCGAAACGCGGTCTGGCAAAGTTGGCGAGTGTCTGTCGGCGAGACAATAGCAAGGTCCCGTCGCCAAACGACGAAAGTGACGAGGCAGAGAGAGAGGAGGAGGAGACAAATGGAAGAGGGTCGAGTTAGAGAGGGCCTTGGTATTATTAAGCAAGTAAATTAATAGAGGCTCCGCGCGGAATGGAGGGCGAAGAGGGTGGATATTCCACGATAAACAATGCCTACAGTTCGGAGTTTTGCACCGGGACGTACACACGCTTCGCTCGTTCGAACAGGGGATCCTCTTGAAGCGGTAGTGGTAGCGAGAGGGAAAAGAGAGAGAGAATTACCGGTGGATATACGGCGGAGAGAATGAAACTGCGAGGAAAAGCTGGAGTGAAGGTAGGCGCGCGTGAACGGTGAAGAGAGAGAGACTGGCGTGTTTGTGTGTGGACACGAGGGTTGCTAAGCAAAGTAAGTAAAGCACCTGTGGGAGCTGCTGGCTCGGTTTCGAGGGTGGAAGGAGGTCGCCGTGCTCGAGGTGGAAGAAGATGGGCGGGAGAGAGGAGAGGAACGGAGCAGAGCAGAGAGAACCGAGGAACGGAACGGTGCTGGGGCTACACAGCCACACCAACGAGAGAAACGAGGAGAGCTAGAGGAGTTGGTAGGAGTGGGGCGGGAGAGCAGAGAGGAAGAGGGAGAGAGAGAATAGAGAGTAGAGAGAGGCCTGGCGAACAGGCGAGCCAACCCCGGGAGGAAGCCAATCAATAAACTCACTCACTCGCTCTCCTACGGAGAGAGACCTACTGCTCTCCCTACGCCCGCGATGCCACTATATATACCGGCAACCTGGAAGCCTCCATTACGTACGCCCACTCGGCTGCCTACAGCCATTTTGTAACCGTTCGCCGTGCACGGTTTCTCTCGAATCTCGGTGTCTTCTCTCATCCCCCTTATATAGGATAGAAGAGAGAGAGAGAGAGAGAGGAGAAAGAAAGAAGACTGCCAGGTACGACGAGATGACGAGAGAGCGCCGCGCTCTCGGCGAGATCAAAGGAACTGGAACGGTTTTTTCTTTCTGGAGATCTAGCTCGATGTGTATATATACAGTAATATTGAATTCTCGTTCGCGATTCTTATCCGAACTGGAATCTTTTCTCCTAATTATCAATCGAAATTTCCCGCTCGTGAAACGAAATACGAAAGCATAACGAGGAGCCGCCGTCTACGTATAAAGGAGAGGATACGTTTCGAAATAA